CTCTTGAGAGTAAAACAGTAACATTTAATTCATAGTTTCATTTTGGGAAAAATGCAAACCGATTTAAGAAGTCTTAGCAGAATACGTAGCAATGATGTAAAACAGATGCACTGGTGAAGCTGGTTGTCCGATTACGACTAGTGTCGCGGAGGTCTAGCGGTAAGCGAACTAACGTTTCTCGACCCTCAGGATTCTTCACTTGCCTCGAGTGGTGCCTACGGCGCTCACAGGTAGAGTGATGCTTCGTCGTTCTTGTGTTGTGAGACCAAAATACGCGAATTACAATCCATTGTTACAACCCCTATTGTAATAACAGCCCCCATTGTAATAAATGTAATAATTGTAATACAATTTCATTTAACCCTATTGTAATACCAACCCCTATTGTAATAAACGTAATAATTGTAATAAAATTTCACGCCAGATTTCCATCGTCTACACCTAACAGATGTGCTTTTAGCAAGGATTTGAATGTACACAGTGATTTTGCATCCTTAATAATATATGATGGTAGTCTGTTCCACAGTTTAGGAGCAACAACAGATAAACTTCTGTCTCCATATTTCACATAGTTTGATCTCGGAATTTCTAGTTGAATTTTGTTTGAAGAACGGGTTTCTCTTTGTGATGAATTTATGTAGTAGATTCTGAAGGTAGGTAGGAGAGGTGGTGTTTGGCTGTAAACATTTGTAAGTTATTAAAAGTATTTTGTAGTTAATGCGTTGATTAATAGGAAGCCAGTGTAAATCTTTCAGTACTGGTGTGGTGTGCTCATATGATTTCGTTCTGGTTATAATACGGGCGGCAGTATTTTGGGTTTTTTGAAGACGTTGTAAAGTTGATGCAAAGATGCCAAACAATAATGAATTACAATAGCCCAGGCTAAGTGTGATGCGTTTACAGTGGTTTTAGCTGTATCTGTATCTAGGTATTTACGAATTCTGTTGATCCTGTAGAGTTGATAGAAGGAAGATTTGCAGATTGGATATATGTTGTTGCCTGTCCATAGAGCTGTTAAAAAGTACACCAAGGTTTCTAGCGGATTCTGAAGATGTAATATTATCATTTCCAACGATAAGAGTGATGAAAGTGCCTTCTTTGAACCAAGAGTCAATAATTCAGTTTTGTCTGTGATTAATTTTAAAAAAATTTCCCACATCCATTCACTTATATACACTTTTCAAGGAAGATTTGCTTATTCTGAATGACACACTGAGGTCCTGTGACGTCGTCAGCAAACAAATGAAAATTGGTGTCAAACTGCCTGATAATGTCTCCTAGTGGAAGAATGTAGTCGGAAAATAAGACGGGCTAAGAACTGAGTCCCGAGGGACACCATATCGCACACGGCTTGGTTTAGATTTACTGTTTTGTACAAATACTACTTGACTACGGTTCGATAGATATGACCATCAACTTTCCAGCCGGATCTGACAGAAGCAATCTGTAGTTGAGACGATGCAGAAGGATGTTGTGGTCTATCGTGTCAAATGCCGCAGACAAATCAAGCAACACCAAGAGAACTGTATGTTTCTTATCCATAGTCTGCAAAATGTCATTGTGTACGTGTGTTAATGCAGTTTCGGTACTATGTCCTTCTCTGTAGGCTGACGGAAATGGTTCAAGTAGGTTACAGTGACCTAAATGTTCCTCGAGTTGAACGGAGATCACCCTTTCCAGCAGCTTTGAAACAAAAGAGAGATTCGAAACAGGTCTATAATATTTGAAATTGTTACGATCAAAGAGGGCTTCTTTATCGAGGGTTTAACAAGCGCGGTTTTGAGACACAGGGGAAAGTTCCAGCGGTCAATAACAAATTAATAAGGGGCAGCAGTAATGGTGCAAAACAAGACACACACTTTTTAAGTATACAAGTTGGAATTGTATCTACATATAGCTCACACGACTTTGCTGGTGCTTTTGAGATAACAAATGATGGAGGAAATTAATTTCGATTTTTTTTAAATTTTAGAATCAGAGTATTCAGAGAATAATTCAGGCAAGTCAGCAACTTTATGACATGCTGGGAGGATATCAGCAGTACCTTTATTTACCAGTTCTTTGAAGACATTGAACAGCACCTTTGAGTCACCATTGTTGCTGATTGCTTCCTTTAAATTTTGTATTTTAGCTTGACTGGTGTCTTTGTTGTATTTGTTATGTTTCTCCAGATATATTTGATGATGGGGTTCGAGTTTGGAATGCCTCCAAGTCTTCTCGGCTTTTCTTCACTCTGTTTGGAATTTTGGAGATCGTCTGTGAACCATTTGGTATCAGGCCTAACAATAATTGATTGTTTTTTTCAGAGGGACGTTAACATAAAGTACACTTTGGAGGGAATTGTTATGGAAAGACCACTTGTCATTAAGTTCTGAAACCGAGCCAGGCTGTTCGCTAATGTTCTGGAAGTTGACGTCCTCTACAAAATGTTTGAGAGCAATTTTACGACACTTCCCGTAGAATAGTGTAGTTCGTTTAGGTTTAGGTTTGGGTATATTAAGATCAAAAGAAATGCTGAGATTATCAGAAAAGGAGTGGCCCTGTACTTGAATATGGCCGATATAAGTAGGGGATGATTTAGAAATAACTAGAGAGTATGACCTAGCTAATGTGTTCGTTCCTTTACATACTGCTTTAAGTCGTAGGAATCAAGTAGACGTTGGAATTGTTTTGAATGTTGACCATTTCCATTGTCTACATGAAAGTCACTTAGAATGATGGGCTAGTCAGATGTTATTAGTAGTCCTGAGAGAAAGTCAAGGAATTCATTCTAAAAAAGTTGAAAAATCTGTTTGTTTTTAACTGACGGTGGAGGTCTGCAGATGGCGACTAAGCGAATAGGCTTGCTATTAGGGTTGACAACGAGGTCAATGTGTTCAAACTTAGAATAAGTGTCTTTGGTCTGATCAAAACTTTGTGCAGGGCTAATCATAAAAGATTTGTTGTAAACTAATGCCAATTCCCCCATGTGAAGATGATTTTCGGTTTTTAGTTATATTATAGTTTCTGGGAACCAGTTCATTTACTGACACAGTATCATTGCCATTTAGCCAACTTTCAGTGATCACAAAAATATCAATGCTTTCATCTAGTATATATTGATTTAAAGGCAATGTTTTATTTCTCACAGATCTTGCATTCCAAAGACACATATTTATTTTGGAATCAGAATTTGAGTCTGGATATGGTGTTAAGATACACAAAGAATTGGATAGAAATGATTTACACTTTTTTCCACCTCTCTTCCCTCTCTTTGTAAACCATATTTTAAAAGGCATAATGTCTTTAACGTTTTAAAGAGGTCAGGGTCAAATTTCGTCACTTCATTGTTTAAGTGTAAGAGTTGTTCAAAACTATAGCCCATGTGAGTTGAAAACTGCACAAGTCTGATTTTCAGTAATATACGCATTCCACAGCTATATCCAACGAAACATCATAATCACAATACTTAAATGTATATCTTTGCACCATTTCACAACTAAACATCATAGATAGATGAGAAAACTGCACAAATCTGACAGAGCTCTTCCATGCAGCTTTAAATTGTAATATATTTTACCATACAATAAAATCGACATCTAATTTTGACCACCTGTTCCGTATGATATAAGAGTAATGGTATACGTTTATACTGCATAGAATATCATTAAACAACATCACCGAAACATGATTAAAAGCCGTTAACAAGTTTGGAGAAATTATTAAAATTGAATGTCAACCCCTATTCTAATCATTGATATTCAAATAAACGTAAAGTGTGTTCTCTAAAAAAATCTGTCGTCTGTAGGTTTTTGATCATCTTTTCCGTGTGCATATCAGATAAAATAATCCTACTGATAGCATTTAAATCCTTCTCTACACTTAGACACATATATTACAATACGGGCTGATATCACAATAGGGGTTACACGGTATGGTCGCCTGTCCAACCTCGTGGGTTTTCTCTGGGTCCACCGGTTTCCTCCCACTGTGAGCAAAATCCATAGACATTTAAAGTTAGGTGTCCATTTTATTGGTATGGCAAAATACATTAATTATAATTATTACAATAGGGGTTGGGAGGGGTTTTATTACAATAGGGGATATACCAGTACTCTTATTTCCATACGGAAATGGTGATCATAATCTATAGATTTTTAAAGTTAGGTGTCGATTTATTGGTATGGCAAAACAGCAGTCAAGAGCTTTGGCACCCATCTTGCAGAAACTTTTGTTATTCCTAACTCGTTGGCGATAATGTACTCAACCCTCTCAGGAGAGATGCCCACAACGCGGGCAATATGACGAGTGGTCAATCGTCGATCAGCCATCACCATGTCATGCACCCGGGTAATACTTTCTTGACTGGTTGCTGTTGATGGCCTTCCAGGACGCGGGTCATCGTCAAGGGTCTATCTGCCAGGCTTACATTCCGCAGTCCACTTCTTTAATGTGGAAGTGGCATCATCCCCTAAAGTGGAACCATGTCGGCATGTATCTGTGTTGAGGTTAGTCGTTTCAGATGCAGGTACTTGACGACTGCCTTATAGCCAATTTTGTCCATTTCTGGTGATTCCAATGGTAGGATCACAAGATTGTAAGAAGACAATAACAATACAGTTGCAGTTATATCTATGATTCATTGAATGATTGTACTTGTTGATGGCAAAAGTTTGTTTCAACCCAATTGATCTATCCTTTTCAGGCTTAGAACTGTTTAGCCAGCCCTCGAATGATAGTTGTTGTTTTTTAAAAATTATTTATCTCAGCAAAGTGTTGCTTACAATTTACAGTACACAATTGGGCGATTTTAACCCAAACCATTTATTTCAAAGAGAGAGGGTTGAATCATTCCTAAATATTGGGATGTCGACATTATTTGCCAAAACGCAGCAGCAGTGTCAAATATCAATCCACAAAGCAAACGTAATATTTGACTACACGTAAATCGAACCTTTGCTATACAAGTCTATAAAACGTGTCCAAGTACGACAAACAATTAAACATATTACAAATAGACCTTGTTAGCTAGTAACAGATATTTTATTTATATAATATCACGACAATAATTAACACACCAGATTGGTTGTACAACTTGAAACATCTTTAATACAATTTTACTGGAGAACCAAACTGTTAGTGTTGATTAATCTCAGATCTCTAATAACTTAATTTCTTATATCATAGTTAGTTTGTGCTCGTATACGAAACATACCAAAAATTCATATTATAGGCGACCACCCTTAAATTGAAGACCTACACCCCATTGAAGAAGCTGTTTGTGACGTCACCAATACTACCAGAACATTCAAATTAGCGTTTCTTGACTTTCTTCCCATGGTGACTTTGTCCATTAGAGCACCCACAATATTTTTCAATTTAATCAAGAGCAATAACTCTAAAAGTAATTATCAGACATGTCAGAAAATCAACAGGCTTCTATATAAAACATATTTATTGAAATCAGTGAAGTTCAATAGGTATCTTGCAAGTTAATATCTCCAGGTGTCTACAAAAAAACTTCAACTGAACCTATGTTTTGGGGGCTTATGTTTTACAGACATTGTCCTAATATGATGTAAGCAAACTTTGAATCCAGTTTATTATTGCACTATTTACAGTAACATATAGAGAATGTTTAAAGACAAAGACAATTACACTGTATCCAATGATGTAGTTAGTTCCACTTGTAATATAGACAAAATAAATATACAACCAAGCCATACTCTTTATATCTAATTCTCTGAAATGAATTAAATTAGGAAATGTTCAAATACAGGTACATTTTGTTCCTTGTTTTTCTAATATATTATGTAGTATTATTCTGATATAGATACTTTTTATTTGTTCAACAAAGACAATAAAACATAAACTATCACATTAAATTATAAATAACTTCATACACATATACACAAATAAAAAAACAAGTTATTTTAATTATACAGGAAAAAAACAACAACCAATACAAATAAATCTCTCTAGTCAATATATATAACTGTACAATGTGTATGACTAATTACACAGGGAATGTACATGAATATAAACAAGAGACCAATGGGCCTTAATCATTCCTTGGGTTAAGAGTTGATTTGAAAGTCTATAGCTGAGGATAGTTTTGACTATTCTTTAAAATCCTTTAATTGTAATCTCTTAAGATTTACAGAATATATATTTTGTATATTGTTAAATTTTATGTTCCTTCTTCGGATATTTATTGCTTTTTTTATACAATTAGTTCACTGGACTTCATTCACTGAATAGAGCATCAAGGTAAATATTTCAGGTAAAAAAAAGTAATAACCACTTTTGCGCTCAGAAGTCACTACACCTTACTCTATTTACAATATCTAAAATTTGGTTGAAATCATACCCATGGCTTTGAAGAAGAGGTTAAAGACAGGTTTCCATGTGGGCGTATAAAAATGTATATTCCTTACAACCAATTGAGCTATAAACATGTTTGTCCAGGCACAAGATGACTGTCTCTCAAGAAGATCATTTACAACTTAACCTGGTCATTGGTGTTTCTGTGTAATTATTTCACAGAGCTTCTGGTAATTGCTTGGACTTTGAATAAAGGCTTCCAAGTCCTACCAACATGCATTACAAATCCATAATAGGACATCTGAATATTAAAACTTATCTTAAAGGGAGAGAGAGAGAGAGAAATGGGGTTTAACGTCCACTCGACACAAACTAGGTCATTTCGGGACTAACATATGGTATAATTTTATTTCAATAATTCGCTTGCGCATAGGGGTCTTTAGCAGTGGGAGGAAACCGGAGGACCCGGAGAAAACCCACGAGGTTGGACAGGCGACCCTACTCCTTGTCACGTACAACCGGGGATTCGAAACCACACCAGTCGACTCAATGACAGACTTTATGATACAGCGCGCGCACGCTAACCATTCAGCCATCCAACCCCCCTTATATCTTAAAGGGACTATCTCGATTTGAACAGAGTCTCAAAAATGAAAGTCCGAGTACATATGAAATTTAAGCGCCCAAATATCGAGGAATGGTGTATTTACCCTGTCTCAAAATTTCAGCTCAAAATATTGAGTCGTTTGGATGTGAACGTCAAAACTGCTTATCTGGACACGTAACGCTTTTAAGATTTCGGGTAAATTTTTTTGTTTGGTGACCTGATACTTAATAATGAAAGGTAAATTTCACCTACACATTACTTTTATACAAGTCTGGTTTTATCCAGACACTGTATAATACAGCGTGGGACCATGATCTCCATTTCCAGATGAAGACTGGTGGATTTAAGTTGTTTGAAAACGTATCACATATATTGAGTTAGTTGCTCGACCCTGAGAAAGAGGATTTTAAGGAATTTTAACACAAAATTCAGCAGTTTTATTCTCCAAAATATTATCAGGATTGGCCCTTTAAATTTATATCTCATTTCAAATGAAAAAGGTATCATGTTGAACTTTTCATCTATTCAATATACTTAAGTTTTTTTGAGTGTAATTTTTTATGTAAGATGAGAAGAAACAATGCTGACTTGAAATACATCTATCATTACACAGCTTATGAGATCAAATAAAAAAATACTAATGCATTTTAAATAGGCTTCTGTCTTTTGAAATTTAATAAATCATCTAAAGAGGAGATTAACTTGACAAATTACTTCACGAGCATTAATAGTAGCTGATAGTTATTTTTACAATAATCTCTTTACATTTTTGTTGTAGCTTAATCATGTAATATATAGTCAGATTAGAGATTTTAACCAAGTTTAATGACATGAGGTAGCTTATTTTGTTGTGCTACTTTGTAAAGTACATTGCATTATTTTGTAAATACTCATGCTTTGGTATGTATTGCTACATCAGCAGGAGACACGGTGGCTAAATGGGTAAGGCTCTGGCTCGCTAGCCTGGAGGTCGGGTGTTCAATCCCTGCATTAGCCGAGAAAGTTCATCCCGATTTTCCGACGTGGTTTCCCCTTGTCAGTGATGCAGGACGGAGGGCCTGACAAGGACAGCTGTCTAGTCCTTCGGATGAGACAAAAAACCGCAGTCCCGTGTAAACATTGGAATGTACGTAAAAGATCCCTTGGCAGTTGGAATTCGATATAAGAGTAGGTGATAGTGCCGCTGCCCGGGCAAAATTTCCCTCATAGCACACTGTACGGCGTATGCCCGTCTTCATTAGCCCAGTATAGGAGCAGAACAGTAGGATGTTAAACCCCACTTCATTTCATTTCATTTCGCTACATCAGCAAAGTTTGAGCTTACTTGATTGGTTAGTATATCAGATGTTTGGCACGATTTTATTTATAGTAACTGCACATGCTCTCTACAGATTTTGCACATTAGTACAGGTACTTGTTTTAACGGAAATTACGTAATTGGTGTATTTTTATCCAGATATCGTACCAGTGTGTTCGCAAACAAAAAGTACATGTGATTCATTGTTTTAAAGACATATATTTATGTTTTGTTTAAAAGTTTCAGGCATTGTTTAAATTCATGTTTTTAAAAATTCAAAAGATAGTTTGCCAGGTAATGAAACATGTTTAAATGTGGACGCTTAAAAACAAGGCAGTGGCTATTGTTACGACGAGTCGTAAAAATATTCCTCAGGCTATTGACGACGATGCTTTCACAGCCCTCCATCATCGAAGTTAAAAACTGAATAGTCGTAAAAATAGTCCTAACCCTAACCCTTCCCATCTCTTAATTGCTGCCTTCAGTTCTGAAAACGTTGAAAATACCGCTCCTTTTTCAAAGCTGGTGTTGGGGAGATTGGCAGCCATTTTTGGAATTCGTTCTTAACGTGGCTCAGACTTGTCGTAACAATAGCCACTTTGTAAAAACAAGAGAATAAAAGTAAAATATCGATAAATAAACGATAATTATACCCAATAAATAGCCATTAATGATATTATCAGTGTTATGGTGTTAATATTCATATGCTACTAAGGAACTCCTGTATCTTCCTATACATACATAAATATACTATTACTTTCTAATTATTTGCAAGTAATAGATAAACTCTATCCACGAAAGCACTAATTAATAATAATATATTTAATATATGTATGTATATATCTCTATATTAAACAATGCAGTAACAATATTATTACATAAAAACAGGAATATTCTTGGCTTTGTTAAGATGGAATATTAATAACATTACACAGCTATTAGGATGTGTAACATTATATAAATGTAATTAATAACTATATAACAATTCGCTCTAAGACCATGAGCGGAATTATTCAACACTGTCATGATGCCATTTCCTTCTGTTTTGTAGAACTGTCTGTCAAATCTGACTGCGTCAGTTTGCTGAGACGAACAACTTCATTTGACATCATTTCCAGATCCTGCAACGAGACATAATAGATAAATAGTTAAATATGTTAACATTACTACTGGTTTTTATAGAAATTTATTAATTTCTACAAAGATATATTGTCAGAATGTACAGAGTAAGGGAAGGGTGAGGGATCCGGTTGAGACATTTTGCCGAGGAACAGGGTCAGTTGCTTTGTTACTCCTTAACCAGGAGCCAAACAGAGTTACTGAACCTGGTGGAATAGATGACCCCAATCCTGAGGGTTCTCTGTCCTTGGTAAAAACTTTCTATTGAGGGATCCATTTGTTCCAAGTAGTGGACATTCAAATCGTTATTACTATAATCCTAATTTCATACTTTGTTGTTAAAGGCAGATCTGTCGTCTTCACAAAAACTATTCTTTGTTTGCAAAACTAGAAAGAGGAGAAATGGGGTTTAACATCCACTCGACACAAACTAGGTCATTTCCGGAGTAACACATGGTTCAATTTTATTTTAACAATTTGCTTGCACGTAGGGGTCTTTAGCAGTGGGAGGAAACCAGAGGACCCGGAGAAAACCCACAAGGTTGAACAGGCGAACCTACTCCTTGCCACGTACAACCGATGAATCGAAACCACACCAGTTGACTCAGCGACAGAACTTATGATAAAGCGTGCACGTGCAAACCATTCGGCCATCCAAACCCCCGTTTGCTGAACTCCTTTGTTCAAATCTTTTTCAGGGTAAAAAAAGTAAAAATTATTACTGTATTTCTGTCAACCAGTTCCACTGGTACAGGAAGTTACAGCATGTAAATGTTAAATGGTACCAGTACCGGTGAAACCGGTCATAGCTGCATCGCAAGTCTAGTACGTTACAACTGTTTTAAGTAAAATTCTAAATTTAAACACAATTGACAACAACTCGATCAAGTTCATTAGATTAGGTTCTACCCCAGACTATCTCAGAATTTTAATTACTGTGTAATTAACTTTAATGAGAAACTAGTAAAACCTGATGAAACTTGATAATGGTTATCTCTCTAGACATCTTTCGATTAAAATATTGACAGGCACTTAGACTTGTTGGTTTTCTATGTTGCTTTTTTGTTTTTTGGAAAATATGGTGTTGTAAGTATCCTAGACCAGTGTTACAATAACAATAACAGTTAAACAATAATTTATTGTTCAAGTTGTTGATGGCAAATTATGTGGGTATGTAAAATGGAAACCCCCCATTTTACGGCTTCAAAGTTTAAGTTCCTTGTCAGTGTACCTCAACATATTCAATAAGGGATCTGCTTTTCTAGATCTGTGAGGAAAGGGAAAGTTGTCTAACAAGCCACTTTACAGATCATAAGGTCCTATATCTTCAACGCTTGTACATAACAATGTGTACGTTGCCCAGTGCATTTCTTACGATTCTCTGGTTTACACCCACTGCTAACCACAATTTACTGAAATAATCTAGTTAAAGTGATGAGTGACATTGGGAGTGGACGTTAAACCCTTTTCTGTCATTCTGTCTCCTTTCAACATTAGTATTATATATGTGAAGAACTGGATATCCAATGTAAACAAGCATTAATGGATAGTAGCAGTCAGTCTGATTAGTTATATTCTTGCCCTTTCAAAAGAAATTGCATGGTTCAATAAGAATATCTAATTTAGTAAATTCCAACTTTTTTTCAATTTGCACCGATTCCCCATTAAGGCATTTTACAATAATTAGATTCTGATAAATATATGGCATTTCTTCTTCAAAATATGCAGGCAACTTGATCGATTTAAATATCTCCATTTATTTAAATGTCAAATCAGATATAAAATAATTAAGTTTGTTTCCACTGATCAATGGTATGCAATATATGTGGGTTTATTTTGATATTTCTTAAGAGTAACTTATAAAATTTACCAATTCACGCCAGAAAAATAACCAGTGTTTGCCAGGCATGATAAACCCACATTTTGCAAGAGATGGATAGAAAACAAGCTAAAAAAAAAATGTCTTTTTTGTACAATCAGGGGCCATGCACAAATATCGAAAGGGACTGAAATCTTTGGGATATAACGATATATTTCAAGTTTCATCAAAATCAGACCAAGATAGGGACCTCTAGAGGGTCCACTCACAACCTTTGTATTACATACTTTTACACTATTTGCATACAAATAGAGGCCATTTTGTCGTGGCAGTTTCAATCCGATTTTTTTGAAATTGGAACTCAACCATCGTTAGGGTGTAACATTTAACGCTTATTAAAATTGGATAAAAATTGTGAGCTCTAGATTTTTCGTACAATCAGGGGCCATAATCCAGGACATTACGGTTCGATATACACAAATATAGAAAGATCCAAGATCTTTGGATTATAAACATACATTTCAAGTTTCATCAAAATTGGATAAAAAATGTGACTTTTAGACTGTCCACAACCTTGGTATTACATACTTTTACACTATTTGCATACATGGAGCGTCCATTTTGTTCGGCAGTTTCGTTCATTGATGTGTAACAGTGAAACGTTTTTTAAAATCGAATACAAATTGTGACTTTTCGTACAATCAGGGGCCACAATCCAGGAAGTTATGTTCGGATATGCGCGATTATTGAAAGGAACCAGGATCTTTGTGATAAATATAAATTTTAAGTTTCATCAAATCGAATCAAAATGTTGCCTCTAGAGGGTCACAACCTTGATATACCATAGTTTTAGTTTTACACTATTTGCGTACAAGGGACGGACATTTTGTCCGACAGTTTTTGTCCGATTTTCACGAAATTCAAACTCATCCATCATTAGGGTCTAACGGTGATATATTTATGGTGGCTGATTGGTATCATGTTGTGATGTTGTGGTGTCGCCCTTCATAAGGCAACTACCCGATAACCCAACATGTTAACCAGACACTATGACAACCCGACATGACATTTTAACCCGACAAACCCAACAATACAACATTTTAACCCGACAATACAACATTTTCACCCGACACCACGACATTTTGTGATGTCCGGTTGTCGTGCTGTTGGGTTATCGGTCATATTCCTCTCAATACTATGATTATGTTCCTTGGGATTTTGCAGGGTGGTTTCTCCATGTCGGTATTGCAGGACAAAGGGCCTGGTAAAGAACAGTGTTGTAGATGAGACAAAAAAAACAACCTCCTGTGTACACATAGGCGTGCACATAAAAAAATCCTTCACAGTTGGAATTCGATGAAGAAATGCCACGGTCCAATATCACGACATGATACCAATCAGCCACCATATATAATCAAACGGCTTTTTAAATCGAATAAAAATCATGACCTCTAGAGGAACTAAAACGTGATTATTCGTACTATCAGGGGCCATAATTTAGGAAGTTACGATCCAATATGCGCGAATATCGAAAGGAACCAAGATCTATCTGATATAAACATAAATTTAAAGTTTCATCAAAATTGGATCAATATTGTGAGCTCTAGAGGGTCCACAACCTTGATATACCATATTTTTAAACTATTTCTGTACAAGGGGCTGCCATTTTGCACCGCAGGTTTGGTCAACCATCATTATGGTGTAACCATGATATATCCGAACGGTTTATTAAATCGGGTAATAATCGTAACCTCTAGAGGGACCAAAAGCTAAAAAGGCTAATATCAAAAGGAACCAAGATCTTTGGGTTATAAACATGCATTTCAAGTTTCATCAAAAACCATATGAAAATTGTGACCTCTAGAGGGTCCACATGCTAAAAACGTAATTTTTTGGAAAATCAGGGGCCAAAATCCATGAAGTTACAGTTCGATGCATGCCAATATCGAAAGGCACTGAGATCTTTGAGAAATAGACCTATATTTCAAGTTTCATCAAAATGGTTAAAAATTGTAACCTGTAGAGTGTCCACAGACAAATTGTGAACAGACGGATAGGGGCGACGACAATATAGGTCAACATGAAAATTTGGGCGTATAAAAATCCAGTTGCATACAGGAACAAAGTTAATTGGATCAAAAGTTCAAAACCATCACACCATCTAAGCTTGTAAGCTTCACAGACAATTTCTCTAGGGTTGACTAATCCAGAAACCTCAGTGGTATATATACCAGTTCATAAACCTCAGATATTGCCTTAAGGGGTAACTAATCCAGGAACCTCAGTGGGATACCAGTTCATGAACCTCACTGAGGTGACCAATCCATGAACTCTCACGGAGGGTTACCTGTCCATGAACACTCATTCATGCATGCTGTTTAGTTCTTACATGACTGGGGTCATAACTGGTATAAGTCCAATTGTTGGGCATACCATTATCCAGGAAGATATGGTCTGATATGTGCGTTATGAACATACATTTCAAGTTTCATCAAAATCTGATAAAAATTGTGACCTCTAGAGGGTCCACAACCTTCGTATTACATACTTTTACACAATTTGCGTACAAAGAGCGGCCATTTTGTTGGGCAGTTTCATTTCAATTTTCCCGAAATTCTAATTCAACCTTCATTATGGTGGAATGGTGATATATTTAAACGGTTTTTAAAATCAGAAAAAAAATTGTGACCTCTAGAGAAACCGCAAGCTAAAAATGCGATTTTTCTAACAATCAGGGGCCATAATCCAGGAAGTTACGTTCAGATATGCGCGATTATCAAAAGGAACCAAGGTCCTAGTGTGTAACGGTGATATATTCACACGTTTTTTTTTTTAAATCGGATAAAAATTGTGATCTCTAAATTTTGTACAATCAAGGGCCATAATTCAGGAAGTTACGATCCAATATGCACGAATATCGAGAGGAACCAAGATCTTTGTGATATAAGCATAAATTTAGGGTTGCATCAAAATAGGAAAAAAAAATTGTGGCCTCTAGAGAGGGTCTACAACCTTGATATACCACATATTTACACCATCATCACAGTGTAACGGTGATATATTCACACATTTTATTTTAAATCGGATAATAATTGTGACCTCTAGAGGGACCACAAACAAAAAACGTGATTTTTCGTACAGTCAAGGGCCTTAATTTATGAAGTTACGATCCGATATGCGCAA